ATACATTTTAAAGCATACTTTTAGGCACTTTACAAAGAGTTTTGTAAAATCCTTACAGGTTAAATATCCAACTTAAACATTTTATTTTAAGATCTTTATATTTTAATGAATATTTAACTGAAATTGAATACCTAAGATTTTTTTTTAGCATTTTAATAAATTTTTTAAAGGGCCTAAGCTTTTTCTTTCCGTGTCTTCCGCTATTGTGAGTGCGAGTGAGAGAGTGTTGCCAGTAAGGACATTGAGCGCTTAATTAAATTAAGGCAAACTTGATGGACAGCTACTAGACAGTCAGTCGGGCGGAGAAAGGGGGCGTTGGGAGGTGGAGGTGGAGGTGGGGCGGTATGTTCGGGGTAGTCGGGGCAGGCAGGTCAGGTGTTGCCAAAGTGCCTGCTACAGGACCGTGTTTGTGCCAGTGTTGTGTACGTGTATATTTGTTTTGTGATGCTGCCACTCAAGTGTCGCTATGGATTTGGTTGCAATTCTGTTCCTGCCTCTTTTTCCCCTCGGTATGTGAATTTATTTTATAGAACTCAAAAACAACATTCTGTCGGTTGCCAAGTGGCAGATGAGAAGTGCTGTGAACTCTCGAAATATGAGCTGGTTTATAACAACTTTTAAACAATTTTCAAAGGCTTGGAAAGTTGACGGCTTACAGAATACATTTGTATGTATGCTCTGATATGTGATGTGAAGGGAGACATCATACATTTAAGATAGATAATTCCTAATAAATTAAATATTATATATTGTAGCAAAAAAACTATAAGATAAATATTAATTTATTATCATAAAAAGGTATAAACAAATTAATTATTCATGAGAAGTTATATCAACTTATAATTTGAACAAAGGGAATCTTTAGAGTGTTAATAAAAAATAATATTCAATCGAAAAGTTTAGTTTATGCAGATTTGTAAATATTATACATTTATGAAAACAATAATCTTTCAGAATTCCCAAAACAACAGATCCCAAAATGATGAACGAGTAGATAATCTGTTAAATTGCCAAGCATTTAAAATTCAATTCTGACAAAGCCGCTTAAAAGAAAACCATCGCTTTAAATAAATCCGTATCTCTTTCAAGCCTCTTAAATTGTCTTTAAAGCCGTAATGCCTGACTGGAACACACACACAGCCACTCAGAACAGCACACACACACTGATGCACACTCTTCTTCTCATCACGGGCATTAAGGATAATGACTGCCACAACAACAAGAAGAACAACAAATGGTAATCACAAAAAACAACAATAACAATCTGGTTCTGCCAGAGGCGACACTTGTTTGCAAGGACACCACAGAAATCCATAAATTCCAAGTCCGCTGCTGTGCGGCTCTTTTTTATGGCTGGCAAAAATGCAAAAGAAAAAAAAAGAATCAAAATATCAACGATCCCGAAACGAAACCAAATTTAAATAAATACAATACAATCATATAGTACAAAGTAAAAACGCACAGAAAGAGCGTTTTAATCAGCTGTTGCCTGTTGAGCGCCGTCGATGGGGAAGATAGCGCGTATTTACAGTTCGTTAGCCGTGTGCTTTTATTCACCCAATTCTTTCATAATTCCGCTACCGTTCCACTATCATATAATTGTTTACTTTTTTTTTTTAATATTTATTTTCTTTGTAAATTTATATTCACTTTTCGTATATTTGTTTACGATTTTTTATGGCCGAACTTGATAGGTTTTTGTGTGCCGTTGAGAACCGAAGACCGGACCGTATAGTGCAAATTTTTTGGGGGCTTGAAAGAACCGCACACGTCGCTTTCAGGTTGAAAACTGAGCGCGGGCAAATTGTGGGGCCTTCAGCGGAGCGAACTCACCAATTTCGCACTCTCTGCCGGCAAAGATTCGCGAGAGAGAGCCCGCCAAAACCTTGTGGAGCAAAAGCTACCCACTGCAGAGAGTGAGAGCAGGCACAGGGGCGTAGCTCAAGGGGTTTAAAAGGTTTGCCACCTGCCCAAACAATTGATATGCCAGTCAGGCCGTACGATAAGTTATGGTCAGTCTACCCATAAGGCCAAATATATCGTTTTAAGTACCATATAGGTAGGACTTTGTCAAACTAACACGCCCAAAAAATATCATATCCCAGTGACACCTGTGGACCCTCCGAGGTTATTGAAGAGCGTAATGCTGGCTTCAGCAAAGCTATCTCTCAAAAGCTTGAGACCAGAACCATGAAAAGCTTATACAAATTATAAGAACGCGGTTTGTTTAAAAATATGATATAAGCTAAGCTTTAAGAGTGGTAAACAAATATTTAATATTCCTATTGGCATAGTTCACGTAAATATTGTTTAACTTGATCGTTGGCTTGTTCATAATATCTTGTTGTTTGAGGAAATTAAGGTGTCTTACTTATAAAACTAGCTCTAAATTATATTATTAATATGATTTAAAACGCAACATATTGTTTTTCGTTCTAAATATAAAAAACTTTTTTAAAGGAGTTAAGATTTTAATTAAAAAAGTGCTGTCTAAAATATTCTTATCAAAAAATCTATCAACTGCTAAATATGTTTACAATCCCCAATAGTCAAGTGCGCTTTTTGTTATCAATTGGGTAATCGCTGCGTTGTACTATTTTTAAAAAATCTATTCACTATCACTAACTGAACAAATGCCCCTTGCAAATACCTATTAAGCACTAGTAAACCAATGGGCCAACAAGTAATACCAATGTCTTCCACTCAGAATAAGTTCCATTCAAATATCACACCACACACGGGCTGTTTGTTCTCCACTCATTTGAATGGGTATTGAAAGCAAAGACAATTTAGGAACTCAATCAACTCAATTAAAAATATTTGCATTTATAGATACGATAGAACACTAGATTTCAATTCACACTCACAGTTATTAATAAGTGCCGAGCAACTGCTCCCGACGCTGTTAAAATTTGAACTGAATAACATTTCTGTCTTGCCTCGGCCTTATAAAAGATTTCCGAACGGCAGCAGCAACAGCTACGGCCACTGAATTATCGCAAAAAACGACGCTACAGAAGTTCCCGAACTGATAATCTTCGTTCACTATCATCCAGAAACCGAGGCAGGTCGAGTGGTGAGGGGCAACTGTGGATCGGGTCAACTTTGGTGAAAGTATACGAATTGTTTACCTATTTCCCAAGATATGGTAAATATTGCGTGAGAGGATTCGTGGGTATTTTAAACCATAATTAATGCTCTAATCAATGGAACACGCGCTCCGAAGCTTCAGGCTATTCAAAGTTTCGGGAATCAATGGAACGAAAGAAGAACCGCCAACAATCCGGTTTTGGGTATACTTCAAGTCGTCTCGTATTTATTTATTAATTCTTTTTATTTTCCAATAAAAACAAAATTTAAAAACTGTTCATTATATAATTCAAAAAAAAGTTCATTATGTGATAAGGATATGGTGAAATAGAATATTTTTGAATGGAAAGATTTAAAGACATTATTTTCTTATCAATAAGTATTGCATATTTGTGTTTGATTAGTTTTAAGAAGATTACAAAGTGAGAGAATCGGTTAGTATGGGAAAAATGAAGAGGAAGTCAGAAGCATCTACAAAAAAATTTTTAAGGAGGCAAACCTTGCGCATTTGAATGCAAATATTTGATTGTAAGAAAATAAACAAATCGCTTAACTTAGAAGAACAAACCAGATGCTATTCAATTTGTACGTACTTATAAACAAAGAGTAAATATTCATTCAGAAAAAAAAAATGGTTAACATATGAACTTAAATCAATAAAGAACTCTTGTACTGGGTATCATTTGCAAAATAAATTGCTTTTATTCGTGACAAGCTATTTGTTTTGTTTTTACTAAGATATGTTTACACAAAATTAATTCAAAAATTGCATGTGGCATTACCAAGAAAAATGTGCTACATTTTTACTTTGTATTAAATTGTTGATATTACTACGGTTCTTATTGCTCTTACTCTTTCATTGGTGTTCGACTATTAAATATAACCAATTTGGGTGTAATTACACTGCCGTGGAGATAATAGAAATGTAGCATGTTGTTGCTATAAAAAAAACGTCATGCCCTAAGAAAATTTCACACTTTAACTTTAAGTGTGCAATTATACAATATTTTGCTCACAATTTATTGGTTAATTTTTTTTTCAAATCACGTCACAGTTTCCTGTTGAAGGTTTTTTTGTGGTACACACTATGGTTTAGACCCAAAATGGGTGTAATTATATTGCAGTCGAGACGACAATACAAATGACGCGTTATTTGGTGAAACAAACAAATTGCTAATTGCGTGATTAAATTATTTGTTTAAGTGCTCCCAAATGCCTGATTCCAGTCACGTTGTTGTTTATTATTAACGCTTATGCATAAAAATTGTTTAAGTACCAAGAACTTTTCTGCCAGCCCAGCCATATGTTTATTAGGATGTGTAAGTTTTTTTAAATTTTTTACGATATCAGTTAAATATTAAGCTTTTAAAAGCAGATTGTTATTTAACTAGCTTTCGTAACTAACAAGTTTAAAATAAAAACGTTTTAAAATGAAAATGTAATGATCTTCTGTTAATATGAAAATCTACGAACTGCATGATACCTATAGAACCTTTGTAAATACGCCATAAGTGAATAGTTAAAATATTTAATTTTAATATTAAGTTAAAATATAATTGGTACAAAACAGCATTAAGATATTAACTCAGCAAGCTCTCATTCTATGAACATAGGATTACTTTGTCTGACCGATTTCCTGGAAAATGTATTACTAAAGTGCACCATATGTTGGCATATTTAATTTTATTTGAAGAAACTTAAAGTTGGGTAAACACATATGTAAACAGAAGGCCCAATGAATCCGCTCCTGAGCAAGCAAAAAGCTGCTGGCGAAGCAAAAGGCGAAAACAAACGACAACAGATGATCCCCAGAGAGCCCTTACAGAAACAGAAAAGAGAGGGAGAGCAGCTTATCCAATTTTTTGGGGCTCTACTCATATATTCAGCATGTGAGCATACGAATCTGGACTGGAACCATCCGCTCAGTGGCGATTTGGCCACAGAGGCAGTCGGTCGGTCGAAATGAGCAGATAAAACTCGATCAACGCAAAGATTTGGGCTAAAGATAAACACCGAATATACGGGGACACAAACAAAGGCGAGAAAACAAATGTTTGACTAATCGTAATTAGATAATTATACCACAATGGACGCAGTGCAGCAGCAAACAAACAGCGGTAGCAACATCGATAGCGCCAAATGCCAGAAGCTAAAAAGATTCGTGATCATAGGCCTGCTGATCACCATTGGCATCTTGAGTTGGCACTTCTACGGTGAGTTAAGAGTCTCCCTTGGATCTCTTTTAAAAGAGAAGGCTCGTTAACTGGTTCTTCTCTTAGAGTACTTCCACAGCAAGCCGCTGCCCAAAACCCCCGATGACGTCTTGACCCTCTCGAAGAACCTCTATGCGGAGGAGACCGAGGTCAGTCCGTACCTGTACAAGGTGAATCTCCAGGGAAAGACCACGCCGGGTGCTCATGATGATCGAGCTCCTCGGAGGTACGTATTGATATTATATTATTATGGACGAAAAGTCTTTAAAAATTAGTTTGGAAACGTTTTAATGTTTAATTTTGAAGATTGTCGTATTTTGCTGGAGTTGTACTTCAAAGACACATTTTTTGAATCCATAGATAACTAATTTTTTATAACTCGTTGTTGTTTTCACCTTCCAGTCTCTTTGAACTGCATCAAGATTTATTGGCCAAAGATTCCAACTCTACCACCGCCCTTCTCATGAGACTCTTCGACAACTACGAATTGGATGTGGCGGTGGCAGAGCACCCAACCCCTGAGCACATTGAGGAGCAGCACGATTTCCTCAGGACCGTGATGAATACTCGGGTGATGAAGCTAACCATGAGGTATCTGGTCAAAAAGGGTAAGGCCATCTCAAATTTTCAAAAACCACATGATCATCTTCTATCCAATACCTTCTAGACATTGTGAGCATCGAATATGATGATCAGCTGCGTTTGCTGCAGGAACTTTGGTTCACTCCGTACTCCCGGGGTCGTGGTATTGTGGGCAGCTCCAGTTTCGAGCACGTCTTCATGGCGGAGATTAGGGACCAAAAGGTTCTGGGACTGCACAATTGGCTGTATTTTGCAGACCAAGAGCAACGCGGCAATGTGGACTACAAGGGCTGGCTGAGCCACAAGGAAACGGGAAAGGTAATATATCTATATGATATAAGAGAAACCTACTTACATCTTATATAAATCTTATATATCTTATCTAAAATACATTTAAACCTTTTCTAGAACAACCAAATGGTACTGAGCATTCGCTACACGTACCAGAATCTCAACAAGCCAGTCACTGGATTTTTTGTAGGCACTTCTCCCGAGTTGGAGTTGTCCCTCTATACCGCCTGCTTTTTGACCACCGCGGAGAAGGAGCCCTGCCACATCCAGCTGGGGCATGCCTCAGTTCCGATTGTCTCTCATGGATGGAACTGGAATGGTATGCGCCTGATAGCCTCCGCCTATCCCGACAGCTCCTAGATCATCGTCCCCCTACCATCATCCATTTCGGAAACTCAATAAAATGAGTTACTGCTACCTCATCAGAAAAGGCAAAAGGCTAACCTCCAAACTCAAAGTCAAGTTAATTTTATTTTGCCACTTTATGAGTGCTTCTTGGCCCAGTTGTCTCTGGCAATTGACAAGGACGTCAGTCAGGACACGAAGATTGTTCGTCTGTCCATCATTTCGGTTGTTTTGACAGCATTGCGTGGCCCAAAGCACTTGGCCTTACATCATGAAGTTGTTTATTAGTTCTAACATTAATAGTTATTACCGGCGGAAGTCAAGCAAGTCAATTGCTATTATGAGAGATTGTGACGTTTAAGTATTATGCAGTCATTAAACCTGCTTCACAATGGTTCACTTTCCCAAGCTTTATGTAAAATGGGTTGTCATCTCTCGTCTTTCATCCTAAACAATATAGTTTTTATACATTTTTTGAGAACTAAAAATAAATACTAAATTGTAGCCCCTTTAATTAGCTAGAAATTAAATATAATATGAAATCCTTGAAAACTTTGATTTCTAATTCTTTTATTAGTTAAAAAACATGGATTTCCTTTGGTTGATTATTTCTGGAACACATGAGTAGAAGTACGTAGGTTGACTGAAGAAACTGTTGCTGGAGAACTGGGTGCTTCTAGATGGCGCTCGATGGTGACTGTCTCGTTGGCAATGTCCGTCTGCTGGACGACGGCCGGAGCACTCGATCTCCTGGCCGTGATGATGGTGGTGTGGGCAGGGGATAAGCTATCATCCTCCTGGGAAGCTTCCCCCAGCACCAAGAAGGTCTCGCTGAGATCGGCCAGCTCCGAGCAGGTCTCATCGTTGGAGGAGCGCATCAGGCTGGGACTACTGATGGAGCACTCCAGCGTCAGGCGATCCTCGCAGTCGGGACTCCAGCTACTTCTTGCCGGCGGCTGACGCGGCAGGCTGTTGTGGCAGAGTGGATTTTCCGCCGGCGACTGCTCCAGCAGAAGCTGCTGACCCCACAGCTCCACTGCCCGGGCGCGATTGTGGTCGGCCCGTTGCGGATAAGGGTGTTCCAGCTGCTCCGGGTGATCCTGTTGCTCCTGCTGCACCAGTTGCTCCTCCTCCGCCCGTTGCTGGCGGAGATGTGATGCCCGCTGTGGCTGCTGCCACCGGCGGTGGCGATCTGTTGTAGTCCGTGGCCACTCGCTGGGGGGCAGCTGGTGTTTGATATTGGGACTGGGACTGTGGCTGACTGGCTGCGGTGCCTCCTGCCGTGGCGTCATACTGGTATCCGGACTGTCCATAGTCAGTGGCTCCATAGTCGTAACCTGCTCCCGAGTCCCCGTAGTCGTACTGCTGACCCTCGTATTGCTGCTGACCATAGGCACTGGGATCATAGGCTGCTGCATCGTACTGCTGCTGATCGTAGGAACTGTAATCGGTGTTGTAGGCGGCCAGATTGGCACTTCCGGCGTTGGCGATGTTGCTCTCGGCCAGCGATGGTTGCTGCTGTTGCTGTTGTGGCTGTTGCTGCTGCTCCGCCTGCTGCTGCTGCTGCAGTTGCTCGGCCTGTTCCCGTTCCCGCTCCCGCTCACGTTCCCTTTCGCGTTTCTCCCGCTGCTCGCGGAGTTGCTGGAGCTCCCGGTCACGCTCCTCCCGCTCCCTTTGCCTGTCGAGATCCTGCTGCTGCTGCTGCTTCTCGCCCAGGCCAAGGTTGTCCTTGAGATTCTCGTCATCGTTATCCTGGAGTCCATAGTCGGCGATGCTGCTCTTGCGACCTGAGACAGCTGATCCTGCTGCTGCTGCTGCTGCGGCTGCAGCTGCTCCTGCTGCAATGCTGGCTGCTGTGGTGGCTGCGGCCGAGGCGGATGCACTTGCTCCATCGGCCAGTCCAAGACCTCCGCTCGTATAGTCTTCATCGCCGGCGCTGTTGTGTGGTTGTGGGGTGCTTTGTATGGGTTCGATTGGGGTGCCATATGTCGCTGCCTGGTAGTCGTAAGCGGCTGTGTGAGTACAAGAATTTTGATTTTGATTAGAGTGGCTCGCCAATCGAATGCAATTAGTGTTAGGGTGGATTGGTTGTGTGTAACTGGGTCTAAGTTTCGGCTTTCTCGGATACATCCAACTCCTGGACTTCGGCTTCTGGTTCTGATGAGGTTGTGAGATCGTTTTAGTATTAGGGTCTGTGTAAAGGAGGTGCTCTACTTCGTTTGTAATCCCCTTTTGGGGGAATTTACCTTTTCCAGGAACTAAGCTAGTATAATCATGTGGTGAGCTATCTAATTTACTCATATGCTCCTCATTACTCAACATGCGATTGGATAGATATTCTAGATTCGATTGTAAAGCAGATATTTCCTCTCTTCAAGTTGGTTAAAGGAAGAGGTTTAGAGATAGAGAAATAGAGAAAGAGACAGGAGGAAAGAAAGAGGAAAAACCATATTAGTCAAGTACTGAAAGGAACCATTACCATCGAGGATTCTATGGGGTGCTCCTCCCGCATCTCCTCGGAGCTCAGCTCCGGGGATCCCTTGTGCACAGGCAGTTGTGATTTGTATTTGCCCCAGATTTGACGGAGGCGTGACATCAGTTGCTCGTTTGTGGCTCGTAACTGCTGTTTCTCCATACTGTATTTCAACCAAAAAACAGTAAATGTGTCAACTTAAATCAACAAATTAAAAAAACAAATTAAGTCTACTTTAACATTAGTTTCAAAGTGCAAAATGTAAAATTAAATATTCTTTGTGCTTTAAATATACAATAGTTAAATTGGTTTAAGATCCCATTTCTCAATGTCATGCTAACTTTTGTCATTGAGGTTTGTTGTTATTTCGAAAAACTTTTTTCAAAAAGTGATATCAAGTTAGATTGATATCACTCGTTCGTAAAATTACTTTACATTAAGAAAACGAATGCAACGGATAATCAACTATAACCTTAAAATTACATTGAGAAATCGGACCTAAATATTTTAAAGTATTGCTACCGCCCATAAATATTTTTCCTAGGCTTATACCTTAAACTTAAGACTACTTTGTGGCTTAAAAAAACACTATCAAAGCTTGGTGGCCTGCTCCTGCTCCTCCGCTTCCTCGTCCTCCGCCTCGCGATCCTCCCGCTCCCGATCGTTCTCCAATTCAGCCAGCTGCTCATCGATGTGAGCCAATTCCGGCGACGACTCCTTAACAAAGGTTTCGTTCAGGGCCTGGGCCACTTCATCCACCTCCTTGACGAAGGTTTCGTTGAGGGAGCGAGTGACCTTTGGCGGTTTGGGCTGCTTGGGCACCAGGCGCACATTGACGTCCACTTTAACCGGAGGACGTGGCTTCTTCGCGTGGCAACCATCGCGTCGCAGCAGCTGCTCAAAGTACAACTTTGGCTTGATGCTGGCACTCAGGGCATTGCTCCCGGGACCTCTGCAGGCAGTGGATGTGGCATCTGCCGATGTTGCTGCCATGCCACCAGCATCCACCGTCAAATGTTGCACTTGACACGTGGGCTGGCAGGTGTTTGTGGCACTACCACTGCTCAGGGTCTGTTCCAAAACTAGATGCTGTTGCAACCAGGGCAACGGCTCCGTTTGGCAGGGATGACAGCAGGAATGACCAGGATATTGCTGCTCGGCGGTGGGGTTGCTGCTGTTGCAGATGTTGCTGGTGGTGCGATGCTGGTGGTGCTCATGGTGGTGGTGCGTGTCTAGGGTGTTCTTGCTGTGCGTGGTTTGTGTACGCGCTTTGCTGGCCGATGTTGCCGATGCTGCTGATGTTGCTGTTGGCCTGTTGCCGTTGCGACTGCGGCAACATGCAACACTCGTCTCGCTATTGCTGTTGCTGCTGCGCCTGCGCAATGTATGGATATGCTCATGCTCGTGTCTGTGTCGCATGAAACTGGGGCAGAAGCATTTGGTCTTGGATGTTGCTGATGTCGCTGATGTTGCTGGTATTGCTGATGTTGCCGACGATTCCACTCTGCTTCTGATCTTCTTGTAGCTGGAAATCTTGGGAAGCGGTGGCATTTTGGCCAGTTCCTGGGCCAGACGCTCATTGCTTCTGATAATATTCCTTAAGATCTCATCGCCCTCACCAGCAGCAACATCTGCTGTGCTAGCAGCAACATCATCAGCAGCAGCAACATTTCCTAGAATATCGGTCAGTTCCAAATCAGGCAGCAAAGTGAACTCGTTTGCGCTTTCTTTTATTGTTGTAGGAACTGCTATTGCTGTTGTTGTCGTGGTCAAAGGCTCGCTTATTGTTGTTGTTGGCATCACAAGATCGCAAATTGGTTCTAATTACCATGAAAATTGCGTGGCAGGCAGGCAGCAAAAGAAAGGTTTGAAGAAGTACAAGTACAGCGTGTTAATCCAGTCTCAAGCCAAGTCGAGAGGTTTATTGGTATTTTTTTGCTTTTTCTTTGGTGTGGAACGAATCTCGGAAAAGAAAATTGGTGTTCGGAATACTGGTGGGAAAACTTTGGTTTTGCTTTGGTTTGGCCTTGAATTTCATATTGCGCTGTGCGGTGGTTTCCATATGTCAGGAGACTTTCAATCAAATGTTCACATACCATTATATAAGGTGTCTATTATTATAATAAAATAGTAACTAAATAAATCGAACTTTTAAAATTATAGCTATCGTATTCAAATTCTAAAAGCTTGGTGATTAGCTTGGTTAATATTTGAGCATAATTACTTGTGCTTGTAGGTCGTATCCTCTAATTTGCCCGTTAGGGTCTTGCACTCGTTCGTCAGTTTATCCATGAGTTGCTTCTGAGATGTTATCATTTCCTCAAGCTCATTTACCGTTCCCGCTACAAACAGACATTTATCGGTTTAGTTATGTGGATGGGTGTATAGTTTGAAATGGGATTGGATTAAATGCAACGCGCTACAGATCAAAACTCATGGATAAACTATTGAACATTTCCCTGTAAGCAATTTTAAGTTCGAATCTTTGGTATAACTTGAAATTTTTCAGTTTAGTTTTCACACACGCAGAACACAATAGGATCATCAATAGCTTAACCAGAGTTTATAGAGAGGATAGGTGATAGTAAGTGATAGAGAGTGTGGAAAGACAAAAGTGATCCAGTGAGAGTATTATTTTCACCCACTTACCATGCTTATCCTGCATCTCTGAGATCCGCTTGTCTAGATCTTTTTTGGTGGGTCGTATCTCGTTCTTTAGCTCCCCATAAGCAAGCTGTAAAAGAAAGATATTAAGTCAAAGGGTCACATAACATAAATGTTCTAGGTCTATATTGCAATGATTAGCTCTTTCAGTGACTTAAGGATCACTTAAACCACTCACCTCCTTCTCCAGATTGGCTATCTCATCGTTGAGCCGCAGGACCTCCCTTTTAGAGTGCAGGAGATCGGCATCCCCGCGAT